AGCAGCTGGTTTTAGTGGGAACCACAGATATGGCTGGAATTTGTCTTTGAAGCTGGAAAAACTCTTTGTCTGCCTGTCTGTGTGTCTGTCTGTGTGTCTGTCTGTCTGTCTGTGTGTCTGTCTGCCTGTCTGTGTGTCTGTCTGTGTGTCTGCCTGTCTGTGTGCTAACAGCCTGTTTAAACAGCTGGTTAGTTTGACTAACAGCAGCTTTAAAACTAGCTGAGCCTGTTCAACTAGACACTCTGAATAATTGTGTGTGTGTGTGTGTGTGTGTGTGTGTGTGTGTGTGTGTGTGTGTGTGTGTGTGGATGCCTGTGCTGTGATGTCAGCGTTTCTGCCCGTGGTCTGTGGTATGCAGGCTGCTTGTTCACCTAGACTCACAATAAGAGTACAATCCAGTATCTGTGTCCACCATCTCGTCTGTTTGCTCTGTTTGTTCCTGCTGTGACTTTAGGCCGTGTTGACAGAGCAAACACACAATGTGTGTGTGTGTGTGTGTGTGTGTGTGTGTGTGTGTGTTCTGTGTGTTACTGTAATAAGTTGTTACCTGGCTGTATCTGAACACATGTAGTTCCAGCGGCTGAGAGTTGAACCTCAACTAAAACTTCAGATTGATAATCTTTGTTGATTCATATTCAGATCAGATGGTTCCAGGATTAAATCGACATTTAACACGTTTAGTTTGGTGTTTTTTTAACGAAAGTTCTCGCTCTGCTGCTTCTGACCAACAATAAAGTATTTCAGAGGATGTTAATATTTGCTGTTAAGACGACGGATCCTCAGGTACTTTATATTCAGCAGTCTCAGAACATTAGAGAAACAATGAAGCTTTGTTCATCTGTGTGTTAACGGCGGTGTTTGCTGGCTCATACCTGACATACCTGAGCCGGCTGTGTTTTAATCTCCCACACAAACGCGCAGTGCTCAGTTTCTATGAAGTCATTAATTTTATGTTTTCGTTGTCATGACAACCGATGATTGCTTATCGAAGAGATGAGCTGACACTATGTTACCTCTGCATGGTACGGCTCATCTCTCCTCACTCTGTTTGGTTTACCATTAGAGAAAGTTGTGGCTAGTTCCTGTCACTTTGTTTGGCATCACCTCAGATGAAGTTGCGTTTCCACCAAAATCTTTCAGTCCCGTACCTTTGCAGACAAACTCACGCTCACAGTCTAACATGCAGAAAGTTGCAGACAGTTTCTGTAACCAGACCTCTAACTGAAACACAGTGTTGAATACAGATTTATGATGTTTCCAGCTTTCAGGTGATATAAATCACTTGTGTCACATACTCTGTTGACCTGCTGTCTGTCCGTAAAGATCCCCTGTGCCCTCCCTGAAAAGACAAAACTGGGTCTCAGAGGGTTAAAGATAAAAGAAGAGACGACAGCTGGATGGGGACGCTCAGATAGACTTTATGTGATGAGCCACCTGCATGATGACATCATCGGCATGACTGCAGTCACAATACCTTTTGTTTATTTTTGCATCCTGGGCGTCTCGTCTCTGCTGTGGTCGAGAAACAAGCAAATCGGATCTGACAGACGGAGAGAGGAGAGTTTGGAGGAGTTTTGTGATGTTTTGATTTTATTCATACTGAAGATGTAAATCTTTAAAAACACAAATAAATAGTTTCATCAGTGATTTATTCAAACAGCTGTTTTTATCAAACAAACAGGAGGACGTAGTGACTTTGTTGGGGACTATTTTCAGAGGCGGATTAATCCACATTTGGTGCTCTCATACAAACAGTTTCTGTAGTTCCAACAGAGTGAGACGTCTCGACTGTGTCACGTCAGCTTCATTCACATCATATCGATAATTTAAGATGTTGAACTTAAGTGGTTTTAATCAAGTAGCTCATTAAAATAAGTTGAGGCACACGTAGCAATCGATTCAAAATCTTGGAGGGAATTCAGATGGAAGTTGGTGATGAGATTTTTTCGGACATTAGTAATAGTGGCTAAAACAGGCTCAACGTACTCGAATAATGTTGGAGAAACTGTGGTATCAGTAAAAAACAGGATCGGTGACAGGATGTCGAGGCGCAGCCGGGAGGAAGGGGTCTGCTTTGGGGACATCAGAATTGCGTATCTGCTTTTTGCAGATGATGCGGTTCTGTTGGCTTCATCACACCGTGACCTCCAGCATGACCTGGGGCGGTGGCCATGGTGCTCTGCCGGAAAGCGGTAGATTGTTCCTTCAGGGTTGGAGGGGAGATGCTGCCTCAAGAGAAGGAGTTCAAGTATCTCAGGGTCTTGTTCGGGAGTGAGGGTAGAATGGAGCGTGAGATGGATCAGCGGTTTAGTGCAGTGACGTGGGCCAGACTGTCACAGTGAAGAGCGAGCTGAGCCTGAAGGCGAAGCTTTTGATTTACTGGTCCATCTCCGTCCCAACCCTCACCTATGGTCATGAGCTCTGGGTCGTGACTGAAAGAATGAGGTCACAGATACTAGCATCTGAAATGAGTTTCCTCTGTAGGGTTCCTCTGTCACAAGCAGATTTATAAAAACAGACTGTGATAAAAATAAAATGCAAAAACAGAGATTTTGTTCCTGTTTTAGAAATATACAACTGCACAACAGTTACATCTACAAACACTGATGGGTGGTGGGGCTTCTGTGAAGTGCTGTAAAGTTTAGTTGATTCAAAACACACATTAAACATGGCTTAATAGAGACAGTTTCAAACACAAATCAGCTTCACTATAACTCGCAGCATTCACAGACAAACACTTGTCTTTATCTGGACACATTTCCCCCACAAATACAACATGCTAACGTTATTAGCACAAGCCTATGGCATTTTGCATTGTATAAATTAGCCTAGCAGCTAGTGGAATTTTCCTCTTCTCATATAAAACCAGGAACAACAGCAACATTTAACAAAGGTAACGTTACATAATTGGGCTCCATTACAGCTCACAAGGTTCACTGACAAAACAACTGTCCGATACTAAACACATTTTCCAAACAAATGCAACATGCTAACGTTAATAGCACAAGTCTATGGCAGTTTACATTGTATAAATTAGCCTAGCAGCTAGCAGATATTTCCTCTGCTCATATTTCAGCCAGGATAAATCACACACAGTGTGTGGAGGCTTTATTGTCTTCACAATTTATTGTTTCTTATCTGTGAAATTAAAGTAAATCAAAGCTTTGTTTCCACTGAGGGAAATGGTTTCAGCTTACAGAGACAGACAGGAGGTCTGCGTCACTGCGACGTGTCGTCACATTTCTGGGGAGGTGCACGTCAGGCTACGGCTCTAAAAAGTGTTGCTGGAAAACTTGTGAGTGAGGGGGCGGAGCTGTGTGACAGAGGAGAGATGAACACTGGTTTGTGTCATGTAACACAACTTGACTCTATTTCGATGTAAACGGTGTCTGAATTTATATCTTGATTGAAAATATATCGTACATAGTCGTGACATCACCCGGCCCTACTTGTAAGCCACAGAGGTAAAACATAGCTGTAGAAAAAGAAAAACAGAGTCTCTGTTCTCAGGTGATAATCAGTATTAACGATCGTCAGTGTGTGTTTAGTGCAGAGCACACAGAGCACACACACAGCAGCTGATAACCAATCAGTGAGCCGATCAATAACACAATCACAGGCCTCTGTGTCTGCGTCAGACTATCACCTGTCCACTGTGATTGGACAGATGTCGTCTGATAGATGATTGATGGGCTGATCGATAACACACACACACACACACACACACACACACACACAGTGGGAGCAGACTGTAGTGTTTAACTGTGTGATGTTGGCGCTCGACACACACGGACAGAGAGAGCGGCGAGATTAATGAAAGAGAGACAAAAGAACAAGAGGAAAAAAGGAAGTGAAAGACGAAGAGAGACAGAGGTGAAAATGAGGCTGCTGTGGTTTCCACGGCAACGAGGAAACACACAACAGAGGACAGGAATGTAAAGAGAGAGAGAGACAGCGGAGGGAAAATAAGTGGAAACATGAAAGAAAGAGAGGAAGGAAAGAATGAAGGGAGGAGGAGGAGGAGGGAAGGAAAATGAGAGGGAGAATGAAGAGCAGCACTCAAACGCCCGGGATGTGTTAGAGACAGAAACAGAAACGGTGACAGGAGATAAAAGTAAATAAGAAAAAAACATACAGGAAGATTAAATGAAAAGATGAAACGAGGAGAAAAATAAGTGAAGGAAAAAAGGAGAAACAGTAAGAAACAAAAATAAAGGTTAAAAGAGGAGAGAAAGAGGAGGGGATGAGAAAGAAAGAAAACAAAGAGGAAATGAGAGAAGTAAAACGTATAAAAGTCAAGCAGAAAAAAGAAAATCCACGAGTGGAAAAGGAGGAGGAGAGGAGTGAAAAAGAGCGGGAAGGAAAGAAGCTGACCTCGTAAAATGAGCGGGAGGTACCCTGGAAAGAGGAGAAGAAGAAAAAGTGGTTTGACCACAAAACGAGGGATGGAAAGAGGAGGAGAGGTTTATTCAGTTTAATCTGAATGAGGGGAGAAAGATGGAAAAAGAAGACGGACGATGAGCACGTGGAGAGAGGGAAGAATTTAAAAAATAGAAAACATTAGAAACTGTAAAATCATCACACAGAGAGTAGATGGAAATAAATAACAGAATTATACAAGTAACAAAAAAATCATTGGAAAAAAAGTAAATCGAAAAAAACAACAAAATATAATTAAATACAAAACTCGCTAACACCTGTTTTTTTTTTTATTAAAAAAATTGTTCTGATTAATATAAATTTAAATTGTTTTAATTTTTAAAAATTACATTACAAAACAATAAAAAAAAATAATTAAACCAAATTTTTTTGTGTATTTTTTTCTATGAAGTCTGAAGTCTTGATAAAATGGTGGTCCAGGAACACTGGATCCTACATTTCCCATAATGCACCTGGTCTGTTATAAGAGCTTCCCTTCCTGGTGAGCTCCACACTGTAACAAAAAAATGGATACTTGTTCTGCCTGTGTCTGACTGTGCTCTCTGATTGGCTGCCCTCAGGTGGAGTGGACGGAACAGAGTGATGGCGGGTGCCTCGGTGAAGGTGGCGGTGCGAGTCCGCCCATTTAACTCCAGAGAGACTGGACGCAACGCCAAGTGTGTGATCCAGATGCAGGGAAACACCACCTGTAAGCACACACACACACACACTGAAAACACACACATGTTAAAAGGTTTTAAAATAGAACTCAAACTGTGATTTATTTTCTCTCATGACAGAATCGAATCTGAAGGATGTTCTGTTGTTTATTTGCTTCTTCTCTCACTGGTTTCAAGAGTTCTGTGAGAGGTGTGCATGTGTTAAAACAGGCCTCAATCCCAGAATGCCTCTGGCCGTCACGTGACCTCTGAACCTGCTATTTAAACACACACACACACACTCACACACACACACACACTGTGTATTTATAGAGTTTTCTGCAGCAGGACTGTTTATAGCAGCCGTTGGTCCGCCTGAACTGTTCGTCACATCCACTCAGACATTCAGACACTGAACCTCTAAATGACGGACGGATTTTGAGTCACTTCCTGCGTGAGTATTGGAGCAGACTCCACTTTCAGGTCAGGAGTTACACTACGTGACAGAAAAACATGTGGACGTCTAGTTACTCTAGAGACCACATGGCACTACTGTTTAACCCTTTCCTATATGAACACTGAGATAACTGCAGAGGAACCAGACAAAATCAAACTAACTCAATATTTAGAGCTCAGCTGCTCCGAGCAGCGTCCAGCGTTTGTGGTCACAAGTCCACCTGCCCAAAGTCAGCTTTACTTGACCCTATACAAACAGTTTTATTATGTCTCTGCTCTGGAGATAGCCGAGGCTGGAGGCGTTACGTTTGATGGAAATTCTTTATATTTGGCACAAACGTCAACTTGGACTTAAGAATGATTAGAATTTGGTTGTCAAATGTCAAGGTCACTGTGACCTCGTTCGTCTCATTCTTGTGAACACAAAATCTCAAGAACACCTTGAGAGAATTTCTTCATATTTGGCACAAACATCCACTTTGATTAAAGAGTGATTAGAATGTAGTGGTCAAAGGTCAAAGTCAGTGCAACCTCATCCATCTCCTTCTTGTGAATGCAATATCTTAAGATTGTCTCATGAGAATTTCCTCAAATTTGGCACAAACATCCACTTGGACTCAAAAATGAACTGATTAGAATTTGATGGTTAAAGGTCAAAGGTTAAGGTCACTGTAACCTCATCTGTCTCATTCTTATGAACATGATATCTCAAGAACACCTTGAGGGAGTTTCTTAATATTTGGCACAAACATCCATTTGGACTCAAAAATGATCTTATTAGTATTTGATGGTTAAAGGCCAAGGGTCAGGATCACTGTGACCTTGCGTCCATCTCATTTTTCGTGAACCAGATATCTCAAGAGTGCCTTGAGGGAATTTCGCTAAATTCGGTAAAATGTCCACATGGGCTTATGAATGATCTGATTAATATTTGGTGGATAAAGGTCAAGGGTTAGGGTCACTGTGACCTTGCGTCCATCTCATTCTTATTAACACGATATCTCAAGGACGCCTTATGGGAATTTCCTCAAATTTAGTGCAAATATCTACTTTGAGTTAAGTAGGAACTTATTAGAATTTGGTTGTCTAAGGTCAAAGGTTAAGGTCACTGTAACCTCATCTGTCTTGTTCTTGTGAACATGATATCTCAAGAACGCCTCGAGGGAATTTTTTTCATATTTGGCACAAATAACATTAGAATTTGGTGCTAGGAGGTCACAGGACAAGGTCACTGTGTCTGGACTGGAAAACAAATTCAAAAGCTCTCACAGTATTCTCCCCTGTCTGCAACACTTTGGGGACATCGACTCATATTCTTCTTCTTTTCAAATGTCAGTAATGCATTTGGTGTCTGAATTATATCTCTGTTCAAATTATTGTTATTGAAGGAGAGAAGAAAAACATCAATATAACAGCTGATTCATAACTTTCCTTCTGGACATGTTGTGTATCATGAAAAAGGTGTTTTAAAGCTCCTCTCTTTCCTTTCAGGCATCTCAAACCCTAAACAGCTCAAAGATGGAGCCAAGAACTTCACCTTCGATTATTCCTACTGGTCACACACAACGGTGATCGCACGCACTATCACACACACACAGATAACCCTTCATCAAATAAACCCAGAGACAGTAATAACAGGAGGTGTTTGTGTGTGTGCAGGCGGATGACCCCAGCTTTGCATGTCAGAGGCAGGTGTATAAGGACATCGGAGAGGAGATGCTTCTGCACGCCTTCGAAGGTAAAACCGTTCGCTAATACACAGCACGACAACCTGCAGGAACTACGATGAAGACATTGAGCGCTGCAAAGTAGAATAGTAGCATAAGAAATTTCTAAAGATCTTCCACGTGTGTATGTTGATAATATTGATACTAATGTTCTCGTCATGATGCTACTTATGCTAATGCTAAGAACTGATGGTAACAGTTCTTTTGAGAATCAGTTGAGTCCAACACCTGGAAGCAAACCCTTCAGAAAATGAAACACGACTCAGCAGCTGCATGTTCTGCTTCTCTTACATGAACTGTTAACCTATTGTTGTTTTCCAGGATACAACGTGTGCATTTTTGCGTATGGCCAGACGGGGGCGGGAAAGAGCTACACCATGATGGGCAAACAGGAGCCTGGACAGGAAGGGATCATACCACAGGTAAACACACTCGTAACATCTCCCTGTGTGTCCAGGTGTCCTGCTGAACCCTCCACAGATAAATGTAGAAACTGGTTTTATAGTCCAGTGTAGGATTTAACCTGTTAGTTATTAATAATGATGGACTGGATAAAATAATGGACATAGCCAAAGTGACATCACCAATGTTCTGAATCTGATGAATGTCCCTCTGTGTCCAGCTGTGTGAGGACTTGTTTCAGAGAACAGGAGAAAATATTGATCCTGACCTGACCTACTCTGTGGAGGTAAACTCCGTCACATGTGTTCATTCACACCGAGTCATTCAGTGAATGCAGACTGACTGATCGCTGTCTCCTCCACCTCCAGGTGTCCTACATGGAGATCTACTGTGAGCGGGTCCGGGATCTGTTGAACCCAAAGTCCCAGGGGACTCTGCGGGTCCGGGAGCATCCCATCCTGGGTCCCTACGTCGAGGATCTATCCAAACTAGCTGTGACCGGGTTCAGCGACATTCGGGACCTGATGGACGCCGGCAACAAAGCTCGGTTAGTCCTCTAGCTGTGGACAGATGTCCTGACACAGCTGCTCAGATTTGAACAAAACTAGAAAAGGCTGCTTTATCTGAAGGAAACGTACCTGAGCACAGCAGCAAATTCAAGAGTCCCCTCCTAGAGATCAATGAAATATATTCTGGGAACTGTAGTTACTCTGTGGTTAATGATGATGAATCAAAATTCAGACTTGATGTGACAGTTGGACCAGTCTGTGTCGTCAGTGATTGATTATTTACACCTGCTTGACTACAGGACAGTTGCAGCCACAAACATGAATGAGACGTCATCCAGGTCGCATGCCGTCTTCACCATCGTCTTCACCCAAAAACGACGAGACCAGATGACCAGCCTGGACACTGAGAAGGTGTGTGTGTGTGTGTGTTTAGCCCTTGTGAGGACCCAGTGTCCTCTTAAAGTGTTGCCTATAATCAGGATTTGGACTTAAAAATGAAACTGTGTCTTCAGGTGAGCAAGATCAGTCTGGTCGACCTGGCTGGAAGCGAACGAGCAGACTCCTCTGGGGCAAAGGGCACCCGTCTCAAGGTCAGAGGTCACAATTGTCATGCTGGTGTTGGCTTGATTAAAATCTCATCAGTGTTTATCCAAATTTACTTATCATTTGCTGCACTTTTCTGATTGTCACAGTTTGTGTGCTGAATACTTGTTTACAGGAAGGAGCCAACATCAATAAATCTCTGACCACGCTAGGAAAAGTGATATCAGCTTTGGCCGAAATGGTAGGTCACCACACACGTGATAATTACACTCACGTTAAATATTATCAGAAAGATGGATGTAGATGATTCTCTTTGACAAATGATAATGAAGAATGACTCCTTCTGTCCTCTGCAGCAGAGCAATAAGAAGAGGAAAAGTGATTTTATTCCCTACAGAGACTCTGTTCTCACCTGGCTACTGAAGGAAAACCTGGGTAAGCACAACGCCTCTGACGATAAGTAGTACTGCAGTAAGAACGTCACAACTGGTTGTGTTGATAGGCACCAGGAGTAATACTGAGGTGGAACATCCCCAGAAATGTAATGACACGTCGCAGTGACACAGACCTCCTGTCTGTCTCTGTGAGCTGAAACCATTTCCCTCAGTGGAAACAAAGCTTTGATTTACTTTAATTTCACAGATAAGAAACAATAAATCATGAAGACAATAAAGCCTCCACACACTGTGTGTGATTTATCCTGGCTGAAATATGAGCAGAGGAAATCTCT